TCCTATTTTTGGAATCAGAAATTCATTGTTTGCACTCCCCCCCCCTCACATCTGCTGTTGTTATCTATGCTAAGTTAGTTCATCTATTAGTTTTAACAACAGCATCGTATCTATGCCACTTCCTTTCAATCTTTTATTTTCCAGTCTCCATGAAAGGATGTCGAAAATAATAGTAAAAAAAAAAAAAGAATTTTCATTTTCAATACTACAATTAATACGTGATTGTAATACAAAATATATTTTATTGTTTTTGACAAGAACATTACGAGTTAAAAATAAGAAATCAATTACATGGATAGGAAATAAATTAACTAGCCCCACAAAAACAGAAAGCGACAAAAAAAAAAGAAAACAAGCATGCATCTTCTACTGGGCACGTGACCGAATTGTTCGCTTTCTGACCATTAGACCCGGGTTCGAATCTCATTATGGTCGATTTGTCAGGAAGGTGTCTTCTTGATGTTATCGTTCTAGAGAAGGCGATCCTAACATGCGGCACTTTTGGAAAGTGCCTGAAAACCATACCACGGTTTGACCTAAGCTTTGTGAGTGAAATTGGTTAGACGTAACCCTTGTGGGCCGTCGATAGGTTTGCTAGCACGAAATCGCAAGTCATCGTGGCCGAGGGATTGAACGTACTTGGTTTGTTTAGACTATTGACCACGATAGATAACGCGCCCTCTCCCAGAAAGTGTAACTAATGTCCGATAGACACGGGTTCGAATCTCACCGGGGTCGATTTGTTAGGAAGGTGATATTATCGGTCTGTTATCGATCCCAGCGTGCGGCACCTTTGGAAAGTGACTGATAGCCATACCCCGGTTTTATCCAAGACTTGTGAGTGAAATTAGGTAGATGGGAGCCGTCGGGGATTGTGCTATCGAGTCATCTAAAATTTGATCGTGCTGGCCTTGTTGATCACGTTACATAACGCTTTCTGTCCCAGAAACTGTAACTAAGGTCTGTTAAGGTGGGCTCTGTAGGAGTTGAACCAACACTAATGTGCCTGAGCAGGCGTCCGCGATGAGGATTAGCTAACCGTCCTAGTAGACTGGTTACCTTGGATACGAGTGGCTGCGCCATTTAGATTTTTAGATCTTCTCAGAAAACTAAGAAAAGGAAAAAACATGTTAGAAACAAGGAAAAGGGTGCCGAACGGTTGCGTGACATCTGTCCTCCTATATGGCAGTGAATACTGAACAATCTCCTCACATGTGCATAAGAGACTTGAAGCAATAGAAACAAAGAAAAGGGTAAGGAACTATTATGTAATATCAATCCTCCTATATGGCAATGAATGCTGGTAATTCTCCTCACAGATGAAGAAGAGACTTGAAGCAATAGAAACAAAGAAAAGTGTAATGAACTGTTATGTAATATCAATCCTCCTATATGGCAGTGAATGCTGGACAATCTCCTGCAGATAAAGGGGTGAGCGTCAGAATCGCATATTAGAACAATCCGAAGACTCTAAATACAATTGCCGCGCCACTGGGAGATTTTCACGAACATAGACACCGTGGCTATGCAAGTGGACACTAGAATCGTATTGTAATATTTTTTGCATTTTTTTTAATCTGGAGAGAATTGTTTTACGCCATCTTAACTCACGTGAACTATACACAGTTTTATACAGGGAATAAAATCACTGTTTCTAGTTTTAAAAATTCACCCAGGCAAAATGTGTTGCTGATTCCTGAATCTTATTATTTTGCGGAATTTCTGTAAAGTAAGAAAAAAATAAAATGTAATAAATTATTTGAAAGAATACGAAAAGCCTCTTGTTTATAATTTACTGTATTTGTAAGAAAGACAGCTCAAGATCGAATAATATCGGTGTTATGTTTTCCGATTTGGGCGCCACGAAACAGTATAATGGTTAGTAAGCTCGTCTCGCTAGAACAATTAAGAATGAGTAGTGAGTTCAATCCTCACTAGGTACCTCATACTTTCGGCTTTGTGCCACATCGAAGCTACGCTGGGAAAATCACTTTTAAGTTCGGATTTTTTAAAAATTAAAACTATAAACCGGGCTGGCGCCATATCCCGTCACCGTTTCTTTCATTTTTCTACATTTTTCTTAATTCTTCGACGTTCTTTCTTTCTTTCTTTCTTTCTTTCATTTTTCTACATTTTTCTTAATTTTTCGACGTTCTTTCTTTCTTTTTTTTTCTTTCATTTTTCTTAATTTTTCGACGTTCTTTCTTTCTTTCTTTCTTTCTTCTTTTCTTTCATTTTTCTACATTTTTCTCAATTTTTCGACGTTCTTTCTTTTTTCTTTCATTTTTCTACATTTTTCTTAATTTTTCGACGTTCTTTCTTTCTTTCTTTTTTTCTTTCATTTTTCTACATATTTTTTAATTTTTCGACGTTCTTTCTTTTTCTTTTTTCTTTCATTTTTTTACATTTTTTAAAATTTTTCGACGTTCTTTCTTTCTTTTTTTCTTTCATTTTTCTACATTTTTTTTAATTTTTCGACGTTCTTTCTTTTTTTTTTTTTCTTTTTTTTTTCAATTTTTCATTTTTCTTTTTTTACTTTTTTCTTAATTTTTCGACGTTCTTTCTTTCTTTTTTTTTTTTCTTTTATTTTCTACATTTTCTTAATTTTTCGACGTTCTTTCTTTTTTCCTTTTTTCTTTCATTTTTCTCAATTTTTCGACGTTCTTTCTTTCTTTTTTCTTTCATTTTTCTACATTTTTCGACGTTCTTTCTTTCTTTCTTTTTTCTTTCATTTTTCTACATTTTTTAAAATTTTTCGACGTTCTTTCTTTCTTTCTTTCATTTTTCTACATTTTTCTTAATTTTTCGACCTTCTTTCTTTCTTTCTTTTTTTTCTTTCATTTTTCTACATATTTTTTAATTTTTCGACGTTCTTTCTTTCTTTCTTTTTTTCTTTCATTTTTTTACATTTTTTTAAATTTTTCGACGTTCTTTCTTTCTTTCTTTTTTTTTCTTTCATTTTTCTACATTTTTTTTTAATTTTTCGACGTTCTTTCTTTCTTTCTTTTTTCTTTCATTTTTCTACATTTTTCTTAATTTTTCGACGTTCTTTCTTTCTTTCTTTTTTTTCTTTTATTTTTCTACATTTTTCTTAATTTTTCGACGTTCTTTCTTTTTTCCTTTTTTTCTTTCATTTTTCTACATTTTTCTCAATTTTTCGACGTTCTTTCTTTCTTTTTTCTTTCATTTTTCTACATTTTTCTTAATTTTTCGACGTTCTTTCTTTCTTTCCTACTTTTTTTCTTTCATTTTTTTACATTTTTTTAATTTTTCGACGTTCTTTCTTTCTCTCTTTTTTTTCTTTCATTTTTCTACAGTTTTTTAATTTTTCGACGTTCTTTCTTTCTTTCTTTCTTTTTTTCTTTCATTTTTCTTAATTTTTCGACGTTCTTTCTTACTTTTTTCTTTCATTTTTCTTAATTTTTCGATGTTCTTTCTTTCTTTCTTTTTTTCTTTCATTTTTCTACATTTTTCTCAATTTTTCGACGTTCTTTCTTTCTTTCTTTCATTTTTCTACATTTTTCTTCATTTTTCGACCTTCTTTCTTCTTTTTACTTCGTAATTATTCTTTCTTCATCGTTCATTTATTTTTATTTTTATTTTTTCTTTCATTTAAGCTTCCTTTTTTTCATTCATTCTTTTCTTTCTTTCAATAATTTATTTCCTTTTTCTCTTTCTCTAAGGCTACACGCAAGAGAGAAAAACTGAAAACTCGTCTCCAATAATCCATTTATTTACTCATCAAATCTGCCAAGCAAAGCAATAAAGCTATAAAAACACAAGAGCTTACTGGGGATGGAATAATTAGTAACAGAAACATTAATAAAGAAATAATAAACATCAATAAATAAGAGTAATCAGAAACCCCGTAAATAGCGATAGACATTGCATTTTAATTTTAACACATTAAAGTTAGTTGGAAAGCATGGAGTCTGAAGAGAGTTCCTCAAGCGAGAAGTGCGAGAAAAGGAATTGTTAGCATTGAACTTACGGCTACATCTAACCAGCCCAACTGTAAAATGATGAGACCTAGCTGCCAATCTAGTACTGCACCTAAATTCAAAAAGTCTAGGTTCCATAGCGGAAAGCTCATCCGAATAATTACCATGAAAGTATTTACAGAAAAGACACAGGAAAGCAACCTTACGGTGATGGGAAAGTAACTGAAGCCGAACCTCTAGATCAGGGCCAATAATATTGCTGATTCTTCTTCTTCTTCTTCTTCTTCTTCTTCTTTATTTCCATGCTTTTTTCTATCCCTTCTACTTCATCTTTATTGTCACCATCACAATCATCTTTTTCATCTTCTTTTCAGATTCACTGTCTTTATTTTCACTCACTCATTCTTTTTCTTCTTCCTCTTTTTTTTTTTTCTTCGTCGTCTTTTTCTTTTTCTTCTACTACTAATTCAGATACATCCACTTTATTTTCACCCATTTTTTATTTTTCTTGTTTTCCTTCTTCTTCTTCTTCGTCGTCGTCTTCTTTTGCTTCTACTCCATGTTCGCCCTCTTTGTTTTAACTCCTCTTCTTTTTCTTCTTCCTCCTCCTCCACCTCCTCCTTCTTCTTCTTCTTCTTCTCCTTCCTCCTCCTTCTCCTTCTTCTTTTTCTTTCAGTACAACTTCATCCTTCTTCTTCTTCTTCTTCGTCGTCGTCGTCGTCTTCTTTTGCTTCTACTCCATGTTCGCCCTCTTTGTTTTAACTCTTCTTCTTTTTCTTCTTCCTCCTCTTCCTCCTTCTTCTTCTTCTTCTTCCTCCTCCTTCTCCTTCTTCTTCTTCTTTCAGTACAACTTCATCCTTCTTCTTCTTCTTCTTCGTCGTCGTCGTCTTCTTTTGCTTCTACTCCATGTTCGCCCTCTTTGTTTTAACTCCTCTTCTTTTTCTTCTTCCTCCTCCTCCTCCTCCTTCTTCTTCTTCTTCTCCTTCCTCCTCCTTCTCCTTCTTCTTTTTCTTTCAGTACAACTTCATCCTTCTTCTTCTTCTTCTTCGTCGTCGTCGTCGTCTTCTTTTGCTTCTACTCCATGTTCGCCCTCTTTGTTTTAACTCTTCTTCTTTTTCTTTTTCCTCCTCCTCCTCCTTCTTCTTCTTCTTCTCCTTCCTCCTCCTTCTCCTTCTTCTTTTTCTTTCAGTACAACTTCATCCTTCTTCTTCTTCTTCTTCTTCGTCGTCGTCGTCGTCTTCTTTTTTCTTCTCCATGTTCGCCCTCTTTGTTTTAACTCTTCTTCTTTTTCTTCTTCCTCCTCCTCCTCCTTCTTCTTCGTCTTCTTTCAGTACAACTTCATCTTCACTCTCTTCTTTTCCCCCTTCTTTTTTCTTCTATTACTATTTTATCTTCACCTTTTTCTTTTCCGCCTACCCGCTTTCTTTTAACTTTTTTCTTTCTTCTTCTTCTTTTTCTTCTTTTTTTCATTCTTTTATTTCTCCTTTATCACCATTTTCGTTCGTTTCGTTCCACCCAAAACGACAGCTGTTCAGTGTCTAAACAGCTGACAATTGTCCAGATGTATTTTTTTAATGTCACAATATATCGTGTCACAAGACTTTACTGTTTGTCTTCATCTCTCGAGTCATGCGTAGAAACCAACACGTGTCTTGTCTCTTCAGCAAATGTGCAATCATGGATCTCCACAACTTCGTGTCTTTTAGTATTTTTTTTTCTTTTCGCTATCTCTCTTAATCCCTGTTCTGCCAACCGCCTTAGGTCGGTTATTCGCTGCTTTCCCCTGCTCCTCTTGCCTGGCTTTAAATAACCTGAAAACGGTTGATAAGCCGTAAAAACATGCCAGGCAATCAAAAAAAATCTTCGTCATCTATGAAGAGATTGTCCAACATTCACTGCCATATAAGAGGACCGATATAATATAACAATTCACTACTTTAAAAATGGTTGATAAACCGCGGAAACTATTTTTCCATTTAAATATACTAGAATCTTTTGCAACACGCTAATGCGAGTTGAAATTCTTCACAGTCGCTAACATTTTTGTCTAGGTTTACAAGCTCTTCATTTCATTCAGTTTCGAAAACCAATCGACGAAATTTGAATAAGTTGATTTGTTTGGGAAAATAATTTAACAAAAACACTATTTTGCGGTTTAATAATTTCTTTAATTTAATTTAATCTTATAGAACTTCATGGTAAACAATATTGTTAAAAAATGTCCTTTTCTTAACAGCGAAGAATACATTCTTAGCATTTCTTACTCTTGAGCATGCAACATACAACTGGTCATGCTTGAATATTTCTTTCTGGGGGCCATAAACCAACTTTCTGTAGTGTTAGCCTTGTGATTCTTTTCTTAATTCACGTAAACACAAGGCAAACTGGAAACTGGTTCCTTGTATATAAAAACTTAAAAAAGAAAACTTAAAAACAATATTCCATCTTTATTAAATACGTATTTGTTATTTTAATTATTAGATTGTTTTTAAAATAGTGGGGGTATTTTAAATAATAAAACTCTTAACTTTTCAAAAAAGTAATGAAAATGTATTGTACTAAGCTACGCACCCTAGTAAAGCTCCCTTACCTGTTTGTACTTCTCCCCAAAATTGGTTTCGATTGGTCAATCTATGGCTATTTTAAAAGGTGTGACGGACAGACAGACGTCAAATAATTTTATATATATTTTTATATATAGATGTTCAATTTAGATAAATTCAGATTTTATATATAGATCTTCTATTTAAATAAATTTAGGTTTTATATATAGATGTTCAATTTAGATAAATTCAGATTTTATATAGAGATCTTCTATTTAAATAAATTTAGGTTTTATATATAGATGTTCAATTTGGTTAAATTTGATTGGTCAATGTATGGGTTATTTTAGTACGTATGACGGACGGATGGACGTTACAGAATTTTATATATTTTATATATAGATATTCAATTTGGTTAAATTTGATTGGTCAATGTATGGGTTATTTTAGTAGGTATGACGGACGGGTGGACGTTACAGAATTTTATATATTTTATATATAGATGTTCAGTTTAGATAAAGTTAGATTTTATATATACATGTTAAATCTAGATAAATTTAGATTTTATATATACATGTTAAATTTAGTTGAATTTAGATTTTATTTATAGATGTTCAATTTGGATAAATTTGATCGTTCAATGTATGGGTATTTTAAAGAGTATGACAGACGGATGTCACAGAATTTTATCTGTTTTATATATAAATGTTCAATTTACATAAAAATGACTTCAAACGCTCGGATATAAGCTCATGTGAAATCACACGCAGTGTGTAACGGACAGAGAATTGACTATTTATTATTACTGTTATTATTATTATTATTATTATTATTGAAAGAGAGCGGCACAACAACAAACTGACGCTGAGTTACAAATATGTGAGGCCCAATACACACATCATTACACCAATATCTCCATATCAATTACGACTGTGTAATGAATTCGATCCTCACTGAGTGCGACTAAATCTCCGCCTTGTACCACAACTAAGCTATGCTTACTAAATCACTATTTGAGCACTTCCATGGTGTAATGGTTAGCAAGCTTGTCTCGCCATATCAATTATGACTGAGTAGTGGGTTCGATCAAACCGAGTGGTTCAACTACAACTGCACCCCGTAACCGCTGATGGGTACACGGATTTTCTACACCAGCTTGTTTGGTACGGGTAGACTATTAATCAGGAGTATTATGGTTTACCTGCATTTCTTTAACGCTCTTGAAATTCCATTTTAATTTTGCTGCCTTTCTTTATTACTGAATAGAGTTTCTTATTTCTTTAATGTTCTTTGATACAGATCATTCAGTTTTCTGTAGTTTCCACGTATCTTTGAAGACCGTTTGTTATGGTTTTGAAAAAAGTTCTAGTTGAACTAATCATCTTCCTCCTTCGGATCTGGACATATTTATTTTTATTATTATTATTATTATTATTATTATTATTTTGTATGCTATGTTTCCTACTTTGTATCCTGTAGAGCTAGGTTCAAACTATGGTCCGTAGGCATTATAGGAGAATTGTCATTAATTTGATAGCAATTCTCTTAGTATATACGCTGTTCTTAATAGGGCGATATTCTGGCCATGTTGATGTTACCTGGGACATTATTAGTAAAATTGTCCATTCATTTTCTCACAGGTCCCAGAGTTCCGATTACTATTTATACATTCTCAGTCTTCATTCTCCACATCCTTTTAATCTTGATCTCCAGGTCCTTGTATTTGGACAATTTCTCGATAATTTCCCTAGAGTTTTTTGTCTCAGAGGGTACTGCTATGTCAATAAGCATACACTTCCTGAATTTCTTATCTTTTATGATAATATCAGGTTTATTTCCCTGTCAGTTTGAATTGGCATGTCCCAGAGGATAGTTACATCGTTATTTTGGGTA